CCAATAACCAAAATAGATTCAGTGCAAAGTGGCTACCCTAGCATGCTGTACAAGGTTAAGGTTACTAGGTAATCTATATGTGGTTAAAACTTTCTCCATAAAACCAGGTGGACTCAGAGAGGAACATGGTGTACCAGACTGTTCTAGCTGCTGAGAGGGTGACACCAAAGCGAGACCGGCGCCCATTCCGACACAACCAGAACCTGGCCCCGCCCTCTCCCCACGGCATCGCGCCTGGCATCAACAGGGACGCTGTCTGTACTGGGGAACGTCATGAGGACCAGTTTGAGAACCAATGTCATCAAGTAGGCCTTGGAATTCATAGTCATACACTTAGAGATTATCAAAACCATACATAACCCATACAAAATTCTTTTACTTAAGAAGCTTTGGCAAGTGTTGTTTTTGGTTTGTTGTTTTGTTTGCTAATGAAGGTTTTGTTTCGTTTTTGTCCCTGTTTTTGTGGGTAAGCTTCATCCCCTGAAAAAAGTGGGTAATTGTTTGGAGGGATTTATTTCTGGGTCTGGAATCCCTGTGCCATGAAGCCATCATTGCAGATGTGACTTTGTACAATGTACCTGATGTCTGTACAGGTGAGACGGAGTACCAGACAGGCGAGGAGGAACCTGGCCAGCAGACAGGTGGTGCAGAAGGAGAACTTTGGGGTGAGTACAACACAAGGTTTCAAATATTAACAGTTACACACTGGAGAATCTGGGTAAATAGTTTTTTAAGTAAGTTTATCCTTGGTGAGTTGTTTACTGTGTTTCCATGGATGATGGTGACATTGTTGTCTCTTTACTTTGTCTCACCAGGATGACTATGATGTCCCAGCCGGTTTGTGGGGGGCCTCACCTACCAGAGATGTGAGTCAGTACAAATATGGAGCTTTAATTTGTAAAAGTTGAATTATAGTCATCTAGCACCTTGTAACGTATGTGTAATCATAGCAGTGTTCTCGCCAGGCCTTTTGAGCATAGCGGGCCGCTATGCTGTGAATTTGTTCCGCTACGCTGTAATTTTGCCGCTATGCTGTGTTTCCGACCAGCGTAGCGGGATTTTCAGTTGATTTTTACCCTTTTGATCTCGGCTACCGTCGCAATAATCCTTGCTTTAAACTTGATAAAAATAATGTCTTTGCTCTCGGCACAATGAACATCTCATAGAACGCAGTTTCAAGTAACAAAGAAGTGATTCACAACCTGCTGTGAGTTAATTAATCAAACCCCACAAATTGGCGGCGATAGACGGGCGTGACACAGGGCGTGAGATTCAGATCAGGCCGCCAGGAGCGGCTCGGGAGCGGGGCGCTAAGTTTTGCCTGTACGTTCAAGTTCAGTACTCGGAAACAAACATTATCACTTACATCAGTACCTAGTCTTTGAGATTTCCTATCAATTACACCTAAAAACTAGCAGAAATACCCAAATTTTGAGATAAACAAGGACCGAAGTGAGAACTTCAAGTACCGACCTGCTGCCCTCCCCTCATGCTTGACGGGCGTAAATAAAGATCTAATTCCAGAAACCTGGGTGCCATTATGTACGCCACTCAACAGCATACATCCTTTATTGTTGTCCAAACTTGTCAATTTTTTTGGCTGGATCGTCTTGCATGGAGAAATTTACCGAAAAATTAAACTGACAGCGCTAACTGGACTGGGGCTGAGCGGCCAGCGGCATGCTTTGGATAAGTTCATTTCAAGGGACCACGATGTCTCAAATCTACTATTGTCTACCTTTCAACATCTGTCAATACAATCTTAAATTCAAAATCTAAGAATTAATAAATAAGTATGCCATGTTGTTCCTGCACAATATCGTATTTTTTTATCATTTGACAAGGGTTTGAAGTATTTCCAAGAAACTTTCCCCCTGTTTACAGAATAGACTCTTCCAAGATGGCGCGCACGCAACACATGTTAGAAATTGACACAGCTGCACAGAAGCCAGTTTTTACGGTGTTTTCCCTCAGAATGTTCTTGATTTCGTCAGTAATATAGCTCATTATCAAGTAATTCCATCATTTTACCAATATAATTTACCAATGCCACGGGGAAGCACTGCGTGTTTGATACCATTGTTGGCTAACGATGTTGTGTTGACAGAAGAAACCCTTTGAACTGTGCCGAGGCTTGGGCTAATTTTGATGTTGCAAAGTTAAAATATCAGAGCAAATTCTAAAACATGATACAAGTGTACTCCAGTAGTTTCCTTTTTGAAGCATTTATAAATATTAGTCTATACAGTGTCTGAGTATTTTGCCCAAGACCTGTACCAAGCATAAGACAAGTAACTGAATAAACTCCATTTCTTATGACCCTTCATGAATTTGGAAATAAATTTTGGATTTGAACCTTTAAAAAAAGCTGTAACAAAGATGAAAACTTTTTCAAAATTTGACCCTCAAAATGCAGGAAATGGTGTTTCAGAGGGTTATATATTTCAAAATTTTCCGGGGGAGGATGCCCCCGGACCCCCCTACATTACTCGCGCATGCGGCGCTCGCCCTCGCGCCTTCGGCGCTCGATGTGTGGCCTGGCCAAAACCTGGCCCCCTATGCTGTGAAAAAATCCTGGTGAGAACACTGCATAGTATTTGTGACTACAGTAATTTTGCAAAATTACCACAACAAACCATTATGATTCTTCTATCTCAGCACCAGTCCAAATTTTCCCAAGAAGTGCCTGAAGTAATAGAACTAGAGGATGAACTGGAAACATCCAGGCATCCAGGTGTCCATGCAGAGGGCAGGCATGGGTTTGAGGACCTTGATACAAAACAACCAGCCTCTTCAGGTAAGATACATCCTAGTGTTACCAAGCCTTCAACAAAGGACACTAAGTGTAAATCTACTAGCATTTGTAGTCTTGTATAACTTCTTGTAACATCACATGTAGTGGAATGTTTAGAAGGATATCTGTCTAATTTGATCATATCTAATTGATTTCATCATGTGTAGTCGCTAAGTGAATTGTTTTATAAATGACTATAGTCCATGTAATAACAACCCAATCTTTACTTCTGCCCCCCTCCCCTCCAGTTCCAGATGTCAGACCTGGTTTAGCTGCATTACAGACACAACAGCAGGTAAGGAGAAAAAGACTTCCACTCTGCACAACCACAGGACTTCTGTAACAATAGACAACAGCTTATCTTTTGATTCATCCATTTAGGGACAGTTGATTTGTACATGTAAATCTATGTAGCTCAGTGAAGCTGTAGCTTAACGGTGCCAAGCTCTATGCTTTGTTTCCACACTGCAGTAGAGAACTGACGTCTTGCGCCTGCCATACTGCCAACTATTCATGCTTCCACAAAAGAAGAATAAATGCTGGATGATCAGCACAAAAGCATATCAACCAGAAATTCTATGATGATGAAAAGGAGTAGTAGAAGAGGAGTAGAAAAAAATCACAGCGTACAATTACATGTATGTGTATGTTATGTACCATTGATTGTTCTTTTTTCCCCCACAGAAGCAGAGTAGGTACTGGCTGTCCCGACGTCTGTTTATGGACATTGAGCGTCACCAGGTGAAGGAACGGGCGCAGCAGGAGCAGCACAGGAGGAGGATCAACAGGTTAGACCTTCTGTACCAACCACTTCATGTTGTCACAACACACATGTCAGAATTAGCAATGTGCCGTGGTGTAATCAATACCAGTCCTGCTTCTAAATCATGATGTCAAAGGTTCCAATCCTGGTATACACTACTAGTAAAGGTTGCAGTCCTATGA